GAAAGAGCTACTCGCATTCGTCACCGTTCTCAAACGGTGGCGCCACTTTCTTCTCGGCCGTCGGCGTTTCAAATGGAATACGGACAACAATCCGTTGACCTTTTATAAAACGCAAGACACGGTCACTAGCACGATCGGTCGATGGATGTATTACATCGACCAGTTCGATTTTGACCCGTGCCACATTCCCGGTCCCGCCAATCGAGCGGCGGACGCCCTCTCACGACGGTCCGACTTTTTTGCCATTGTGACCACGGCATTCGACCTCGATGACGATCAGCAGCCGCATTTCGTCAACGGCTACAAGTCCGACCCGACTTACTCTCAGCTTTACACAGAGCTTTCATCGGATCACCCGCCGGCTAGCCATTATCGGATYTCCGACGGGTTCCTTCTCCTTCACACGAGAGGAAATGACTTGTTAGTTGTGCCCCAAGATCGCATCTTACGGACTCGTCTTCTCGGCGAATTCCACGACGTACGACTTTCGGCACACCTTGGCGTGAACACCATACACTAGCACGCCTCCGCCAGCGTTTTCACTGGCCCGACGTCCTTCATGACGTCACGAGGTACATTGAGTCATGTGCAGTTTGCCACCGWAACAAGGGTCGATCTCGAGTCCCCTTCGGCGAACTGAAACCGTTGCCGATTCCTCGGGCCCCCCGCCTCTCCATTGCTATGGACGTGACAGGCCTGTTCCCCCGCGATCGCCACGGCCATGACGGTATTCTGACGGTCGTTGATTGTTTGCGCAAGTATGCTCGCTTCCTTCCTTGCAAGTATCATGATGCAGCGCCTGAGCTCGCACGACTCTTGCACACCGGTTGGATTACAAACCAAGGTGTTCCGGAAGACATAGTGAGCGACCGAGATACTCGTTTCATGTCAGCCTTTTGGACTTCCCTCATGGTTGAGTCCGGTACGACAATGAAACCGAGCTCGGCTCGGCACCCGCAGACGGATGGTCAGACGAAACGAGCGCACCAGACCGCTCAGATGATGTTGCGTACGCTCATCCGTCCCGACCAGAAAGATTGGGTTGACCGGCTTCCCGACATCGAGTTCGCGTAGAACACTTCGGTGCACCCGGCGATCTGCGTCACACCATTCGAGTTACATCATGGTGGAGAGAAAGCACGGATCTTCGCTGATCTCCTTTTGCCACAGGCTGCCGACATAGACGTCCCTTGCTCTCCTGCTTCCGTCCGGAAGTACCGGGACTTGCTGATCAAAGCCCGCAAAAATATGCAAAAGGCTCAGATCCGCATGCAGCAGCAAGCTAACCGACGTCGACTTCCTTGTCCTTTCTGCGAGGGAGACCTTGTTTGGGTCCTCTTCGAGGAATTTGCGCTCGAGCAGGACGTTTCGCGCAAACTCCTCCCGAAATGGTTCGGACCATGGGAAGTCACTTCTGCCGTTGGAGACGATCCCGCAGGTCCTTCCTTCGTGATCAACATTCCACCGCACCTGACAGTGCATCGGGTCTTCCACGCATCAAAGCTGGCAATCTTCACGCCACCTTCCCGGACGTCGATCATAGGATCCGCCCTCCATGGACGGACATCAGGATGTGGACCGAGTCATCACGCACCGCAAGTATGGCAACAAGCCAATGCAGTACAAAGTCACATTCAAGCAATGTGCGCCTGACGACATTCGGTGGATCTCCAGTACAGATTTGCAGACTTCTGCACCCCTTATCTTCGCCGACTATGAGAAGCGACGCCTTGCTAAGGATGCAGCTCGTCCCACCCGACCCATCCCGGTATCAAACACACAACTCCGCCCTCGCAGGTAGCTCGGTCTTTTAAGAGGGGGAGTGTGTTACATCTTCGACGCCACACGGGTCCTACCAGACCCGACTTAGGGCTAGAGGGACACATCAGGGCCTTAAGGCCCGACCTTGGGGGATAACAGGCCGAAAGGCCACGACTTGGACCCGACTACGGACCAGGCCCAAATGACATTTCGTCTTTGGGCCTGACGGCGCCGTTTGAGGCTGCCTCTCTCCGGTTGGACCTGAATCGTCAATCTGGACGGTTCAGCCCCAACCAAGGCCTCGCAGCAGTGAGGCCGGTCCTCTTCGAACCAGTACTTAGTACTGGTCCG